TCTGTTTATGAAATTGGTGGACGTCTACGGGATATCTGTTTATAAAATTGATGGACATACTAAGAATCTCTGACGTGTCCATAGGATATAAAAAATAAAAAATAACGATTAAATAAACGTTTATAAAATTAGAATAAAAAACATTATAAAACACTAAAAAAAAACAACTTACGGTGTTTGCAAGGAGATTATTCATCTGAAATTAATATTCAAATCTAACGGTCACCCATCCAAGCCACGACTGCTCTCAACGTTGCTTAACTTCTGTGATCGGAAACTGCAGACATTTCGTGATGATCCATAATTACTTGATGTTAATGAAAAAAATTCTAGCAACATCATTTCTGATGTAAAATTTTTTGCTCTTTCAGAATCTGTCATCAGAATTTGTCAAAAATAAAGTCTAAAAAAGCTATAGTCGATTTTTTGGAAAAAATGCCGTGATTTTTTACTCAAATTTTTTTTAATCGATATTTTCATATCGAAACAATATTAGGATGGTCTTAAGCAGTCAAAATATAGCGTCTATGAACTCTAAACTTTAAAACGTATACATATTTATTTCGAAATTCATGATGGCGGCATCGAAAATGATGGCCGAAAACTCGAAATGTTACGATATTGTGCAAATTCACTAAAAAAATGCAGTAATCATCATGACTGGTATGTTTTTATCAATATCATAATATTATATGATCAAAACAACAATAAAATTATTGCTACAATATGGCGGACACAAAATGGCCGATTATAACGTGCTAAAAAAACGCCAGGAGATGGATATATAAAAACGTTCTATTTTTTTTATTGATTTATATTAATGTCAAAGTTTTTTATTAAAAATTTTTTTTGTTAATTTTTTAATCAATTTTAAATTTTTTATTTTTTATTTTTTAGATTTTATTATTATAATCGTAATCGGCCATTTTATGTCTGTCATATTGTTGCAATAATTTTATTGTTGTTTTGATCATATAATATCACAATATTGATAAAAACACACCAGTCATAATGATTACAGCATTTTTTTAGTGAATTTGCACAATATCGTAACATTTCAAGCTTTTGGTCGCCATTTTCGATGTCGCCATCATGAATTTCGAAATGAGTATATATACGTTTTAAAGTTTAGAGTTCATGGACGCTATATTTTGACTGCTCAAGACCATCCTAATATTGTTTCAAAAAGATAGATTTAAAAAAAATTTTGAGTGAAAAATTACGGTTTTTTTTTTTTAAAAATCGACTATAACTTTTGTGGACTTTATTTTTGACAAATTCTGATGGCAAATTCTGAAAGAGCAAGAAATTTTACATCAGAAATGATGTTGTTATTATTTTTTCAAGACTATTAAAATAAAAAATTAAGTTACTGAAAATTGTTCAAAAAATGTGTCCGCTTGGACATTAATGAGTTCAACAATATATTTATTAATGTTAATAACTATTTCATGATAAAATCTTATTAAATTTTTCTTTCATAACTAAGGAATTTAAAATAATTAGTTTAAATGATTTTTTTATAAAAATGTAAAAAATGTAAAAAAAAATGTTTGCATACATTTGGTATAAGACGCTAATTGCTTCTTAACCTAATAGTTTTACATTATGTTGTACTTATTATTTGTATTTTATTGTTATTTGGATTATCGATTATGTTATTTTGTATATTGTATATTATGTATATTGTATATTGTATTTTGTATATTAACATTTAAAAAAAAAATAGATATTTATCTTTTTTATAACTTTATTGATCTGATCTATACGGATATGTATAAAAAATTTTACATCAGAAATGATGTTGCTAGAATTTTTTTCAAAACCATTCAAATAAAAAATTAAGCCAATGAAAATTGTTCAAAAAATGTGTCCGCTTGGACGTTAATGGGTTGAATAACTATTTGTGTGCGTGCGTGCGTGCGTGCGTGCGTGCGTGCGTGCGTGCGTGCGTGCGTGCGTGCGTGCGTGCGTGCGTGCGTGCGTGCGTGCGTGCGTGCGTGCGTGCGTGCGTGCGTGCGTGCGTGTGTGTGTTGTGTGCGAGCAAGAGAGAATGTAATCGCATGTCCTTAAAATGTCATATGTATGCGCGCGTGTTGCAGTCAGCTGATCGTCGCAATGGCCCCGCGTACCGCCTGTGTCCGACAGATATTACGCGCTCCTGTCTACCTTCCATACGCGGTCCATAATTCGCTAACTATTTCTTGTTATAATTTAAAAATTAAACTTCGGATAAAATTTTGGTAAAGGAAAAATCTTCTCAGAATTGAGTCAGAAATATGACATTTTAAGGACAAAAGTTTATTTTGGGACACCCTGTATAACTAAGCTATATAACTATAAGAACTTATTAATAAGAAATCAAATACTGATTGTAATTCTAATAATAAGATTTCGGAAGTTCCGCGTCTTAATCCTGTAGAAACATCCGTTGTAACGAGATCCGGCCGCATCATTAAAAAACCAAAAAGGTTTCTATAGTCGGATAATGTTAAGAACTATATACTATATTTTAGTTATTTTACTATGTATTATTTTCTTTCTATGGATGATTTTGTTCGAAATTTTATGTTTATGTTAATTGAGTTGGGAATAACACAACTTAAGGTGAGAGAATGTTGGATTTGCGATTATTTTTATTTTATCGTTTGGCGCCTTAAGTAAGCGCTGATATAGAGCTTCAAGCGTTGGCTCGATTATAGGAGTCAGGTCGAAAGTGAAGAGAGATATTCATTTATTATAATGGCGTCGGCTATAACAGTTCAGGAATAAAGTCGCCTTATATTTTTCTCGAGTTTTGTCATGACTTAACGTGATTCACTTTTTCCCGTTCCTAATCTAACAATCTGAAACACTTTTCCATATTTTCATTTTTGGAATTATTTATCTTCTTTATTTATAATGAAAATATAAATATTTTAAAAAATTGCTTATTTATATTTTTTATTTAAATGAAATATTAAATTTATAACTGTATATACAGGGTGTCTCTTAATAGGTGTATCACCGCTCATGGGTACATAGAATGGACTAAACTGAATCGAAAAGTCCTCTACCATTTTGCAAAATTCGCAATATTTAACGAGATATTAATTTTTGAATATTGCCGAATGAGCGAGTATCCGTTCGGCGAGTCCGGCCCACCGCCAATACTAGCACGCGACCGTCCATCGCGTGCGGTTGTCTAGCGCGAGACACGCGGCGAGCGGGGAATTGTTTACAGCAAAAATGGCTGTGCGTCGAGCGGCTCATGGACGGTCGCGCGCTAGTATTGGCGGTGGGCCGGACTCGCCGAACGGATACTCGCTCATTCGGCGATATTCAAAAATTAATATCTCGTTAAATATTGCGAATTTTGCAAAATGGTAGAGGACTTTTCGATTCAGTTTAGTCCATTCTATCTACCCATGAGCGGTGATACATCTATTAAGAGACACCCTGTATGTATATACATATATGTATAGGATGAGTGTGTAAAGTGTGACAGATAAATATCTCAAAAATTAAGATAGATATGAAAAAATGTTTTGAACAAAAGTTGTAGGATTTCAAGAGTAACGTTTGATAATGTTAATGATTTGATATTGAATAATCCTTTGAAAATTGCATGAAAGTCACGGCCATTTTTTAAATAAAATTATTCAATTTTTTTACATAATATAATTTCTTTAGATTCTGTATATAAAAGTATTATGATAAGGTTATTAAGAAATTAATAATTTACAAGATATTTTATACTTTGTTTTGATATATTTTGAGATAAAATATAAAATATCTTGAAAAATATTAATTTTTATTTTACTTTTTGTAAAAAGAAATGAACCAATTGATGTAAAGAAAATATAAGTTACTTTTTAAAAGGAGTGTATTACATATTCTTCAAATTGCATAATTAACTTTTTTATAAATGTAACTTTGTGTTTTTGAACAACAATTTATTCATCTTTTTGTTCTGTGCATTAAAGTATTAATGTATGGTTATAAAAAATTAATAGTTTATGAAATATTTTATATTTGATATCAAAATATGGAATAATTATAAAATATCTAATAAATTATTGATTGTTTGATAACTGTATTTTAATACTTTTATATCTAAAATAATTAAAAGAATTATGTTATACAAAATAAATTATAAAACACATATCAATTAATTTCTTTATTTAAAAAATGATTTTTCTTTATATAAAAAATGATACAATAATCCTTATCGACTTTAACGCTTATACTCAAAGTCAAATTAACATCTCTATCTTTTTCAAGTAAAACAACTTCTAAAATATTTTTTGCTTTGATATTTTCAAAGATAATATCTTATGAAATTTTAAATGTTCCTTATATATACATATAAATAAGTCATATTATTATTAGTCTTGTTATCACTATTATTTGCACGATTATTATAATATGGTGTGGTGTGTTCCCGGTGGCGGTGGATGTTATCGCGGGATCCTTAAATCATCACCCTCCCTCAATTCAGCCCGCGAGGTAATTGATGCACCACTACAAGACTACGTTCCACTGCCGCCACCACCGGGAGGGCTCGTTACTGCCAGAACACCAAGTACGTCTTGTGTCCTTTTTTATTATATTCTCTATGATATTTAATAGCTGCAAAAAAGATGATATCGATTTTAATTCATCAGCGCGTTGATCGAGTTAGTCACGTAAATTGCAATTTTATTTGGTTTTCAGAGTGCGATCAAAAATTTGTGAGTACTCCTGACGGGCCGCTGAACGGGACATTTCACGCACCGACGTTGATCAATCCTGAAGGAGAGCCGCGACAGTGCGTTTACACATTTCTTGCAGGGCCGCGTCAGCGTGTCGAATTGATTTTCACCTTGTTTGGCCTCCGGGGAAAACCGCCAGAGTGAGTCTTTCTTTGTTTTCATCATTCTACTCTGCGATTACATTCATTTTGATGCGAGATTCGCAATTCACCTATTGTTGCTCACAAATATGTCCCCTCTTTCATTTTTTTTATTTTTTTATTTAATTTCATTTTTTAGTTTTATCGGCAATAATTTGATTGGCGATAGATCAACATATTATCCGATATATGAAGTCAGTATTATACAGTCGGTCCTATCTATTATTATTCTATAAAAATTTTTTTGTTTTTCATTTCTTTTCTTCTCGTTAATTATATGAAAAAATGTCAAATATAAGTGAGAAAATAAAATACGAATGTGGTAAAGAATTAAGAATGGAAGCAGATATAACCGATGAAGGATACAGCAAGAGGTTTGACTGTATGTACGAGTATATTATATTTTTCAACGTAGATGTAATTATATTCTATCATATGTCAATTATAAATGTTAATTGATAATTACAAAAATTAATAACTGACATATGAGAGAATATCATTTATTTCCTTTTATGGAAAATTTAATGACATTTGATACTAGAACCGGAATTCGAGATTTTAGTGTTATATTACATTTGATAATTTTTACATGTAAATGATATAGGTTCATATAAGAAATATTTGTTTACATATATGTATTGTTTGCACGCATACTTTTCCTGGTTATGTAGTGGATCTGCTGTGGGAGAGTTACCTGCGTAAGTATTGATTAATTTTATATTACTTATAGGAAGTTATTATAAATTAATAGCATAATTATTTACAAGAAAACCTCGCGAAGTGTTAAATTCTGATTTTAATGAAACTTTGTACATTTATAGGTTACTCAAATAGAATTGAGAAAATATCAGTTGCTGCTAAAAAACAGTTTAAAGAAATGAAATCATCCTTTATATATAAAGTAGTTTTCAGTTTTTTTCGTTATATCTCGAAAACTATTCAAGATATCAAAAAATGTTTACAGAAGTAGTTTTTTACAGTAAAATTACCTCTATTAATTTATGTTAATAGTATTTTAATAAAATAATTATTTTCAAAAATTTTTTAGAATATAATTATTAAAAAAAAATATTAACGTAAATGAATAGAGATAATTTTACTGTAAAACTTTCGTATAAAATTTCGTTTTTTTGATATCTTGAATAGTTTTCGAGATATAATAAAAAAAGTTAAATATTCTTTATTATAAAAAATTAAAAGTTAAATATATCTTTATTATAAAGGATGATTTCAAAACTATTTTTCCATCGCAACTGATATTTTGTAAATTCATTTATTACGTAACCTATATGTATACAAAATTTTATTAAAATCAGATCTTGACACTTTTGTTAAGTAATGAAACTAGTATATTTACACACATATAGATTGAATATTGTTTTATTTTTTCCGTAACAAAACGCTATTATTTTCACACCACATTGTAGTAGATAGCACCGTGCGTTTTATTTATAATGGTTTCTTAAATAGGCCTAATCCATTCTTACTTTTTAATAAGTTATTTGAAATAATTTCTCCCTTTTGAACAGTTTTTGAGATATAGGTAATATTTAAAATAAAATTTTTATCTTGAGTAATTTTTGAAACATAATATTGAAAATATTTTTAATTTGAATATAGTTTTTGAAATATAAGATTTAAAATAATTTTTAAAAAATTATTTTCAAAAATTCAACTTTTTGTACCTTTTATTTAAAAAAAATATATTTTGCATTAGAATGTTATAAAATGATTAAATTTTAATTTTTATTCCAAATATATTTATAACCTTCTGTACAGAGTGATTCAGAATAACCCCGGTGTCCTTAAAGACGTATTCTTAACTCAATTCTAAGACGATTTTTCCTTTACAAAAATTTTGTTCGAAGCTTGGTTTTCAAATTATAACGAGAAATAGATAGCGAATTACGGGCCACGTACAGAAGGTAGACAGGGGCGGCACGACTTACTGTCCAACGGCAAGCGGTACGCGGAACCCTCGCGACGATCAGCTACACGCGCGTACAAACATGCGTATATTTTTTCCCTCTCTCTTACACACGCACGCACGCACACACACACACACACACACACACACACACACGCACACGCACACGCACACGCACACGCACACGCACACGCACACGCACACGCACACGCACACGCA